TCGCCTTGCTGTCTCAAGAGAGCCTGCGGATCATTGGAGAAGAAACCTGGGTGGGTCTGAACGACCGTCGGGGACCACTTCGCTTTTAACTTGGTCAATCGATGCATAGCCCTCGCCCCCCCGTGTAACGCCTTCTCCTGCCACTCATCCCAACTATCCCTCTTTTGTTTGTCAATGGCCTGCTTGGCCGCCGCGAGATCGTCATCCCACGAAGCGAGAAACTCCTGGCACTCGTCGCTCCAGTCCGACAGCTCACCTGTCGAAGGAAACCTGCGTGCCAAGGCTCGTGCCTGCACTAGAGCAGAGTCTAAACGGATACTGCGCCCTTCACCTGGGCAGGGTGTGGTGAGCAGCTGCTGGACCTGGAGCTCCACATCACTAGTGAGTTGATCGATTTGGGCATGGCCCTGAAAAACGGGAGCCTCACAGAGGCCCCAATCGTCTCGGAAAGCTGTTGCGCAAGCCAGATCCATCCGCGGTGCTGCTGTCTCTCATCCACACAACTTGGCTTGGCGAAAATCTGGACCCATCTTGGTTTCAGGAAACCCCCTTTGAACCTCTTTTGTTTGACCTCAACCCAGTGAAGGCCTCGAGCTCGAGCTCGAACATGTTAGCGAAATGGCGCCACGCCTCCGTGAGCAGCTCCCACGCATATCCAACTGGCTGGGGCAAAGCTGCATCAGCTGCTGCCTCGGCAACTGCTCGAGGAATTCTCCAGTCCTGAGGCTGAGGTGACGGTCCTATGGGTAAACTAGTGGGCAACTTTTGGTGGGTTCGGTACATGAGCTGGTAACACTTGACCGCATCAGCCTTCAAGGAAGTGCACGCGGGTCGGCGAGGTCAGTGTGTCCATGACACGTCAGCCTCGATGCTCTTGCAAGCTCTAGTGAAGCAAGTGCTGGCAAGAAAATAATCAATCTTGGACAAGCTGGTGGGGGAGAGGCAGGTCTTTTGACCGCCGACCCTGTCGGCGTGTGTGAGGGGCTTTTCCGTTCGAGCCGTCATCTCCGTCATTCTTTGTACTCGTCGTCTCTGTCCTTCCCTTTCCCTGGGAGACCTCTTCCCCTGGGCTCCAGCCAAGCCGACCTTGAGCAACCTCGTAATTGAGTCGAAGGGAAGCCCCTTCCCTTTGATCCCTCCCCCGCCGGGAGGGGGGGGGGGGTAGCGACCCCCCCCCCGGGTCAGATACGACGCCCCCCCCTGGGACTCCTCTTCCCCTGGGCTCCAGCCAAGCCGACCTTGAGCAACCTCGTAATTGAGTCGAAGGGAAGCCCCTTCCCTTTGATCCCTCCCCCGCCGGGAGGGGGGGGGGGTATCGACCCCCCCCCCGGGTCAGATACGACGCCCCCCCCTGGGACTCCTCTTCCCCTGGGCTCCAGCCAAGCCGACCTTGAGCAACCTCGTAATTGAGTCGAAGGGAAGCCCCTTCCCTTTGATCCCTCCCCCGCCGGGAGGGGGGGGGGGTATCGACCCCCCCCCCGGGTCAGATACGACGCCCCCCCCCCGCACCGACCTTGAGCAACGTCGTAATTCAGTCGAAGGGAAGCCCCTTCCCTTTCCCTCCCCCGCCGAGGAGGGGGGGGGGTAGCCGATCCCCCTCCCGGGTCAGATACGACGCCCCCCCCCCGCACCGACCTTGAGCAACGTCGTAATTCAGTCGAAGGGAAGCCCCTTCCCTTTGATCCCTCCCCCGCCGGGAGGGGGGGGGGGTAGCGACCCCCCCCCCCGGGTCAGATACGACGCCCCCCCCTGGGACTCCTCTTCCCCTGGGCTCCAGCCAAGCCGACCTTGAGCAACCTCGTAATTGAGTCGAAGGGAAGCCCCTTCCCTTTCATTCCTCCCCCGCCGGGAGGGGGGGGGGGTAGCGACCCGACCCCCCCCCGAGTCAGATACGACGCCCCCCCCCCGTACCGACCTTGAGCAACGTCGTCATTGAGTCGAAGGGAAGCCCCTTCCCTTTCCCTTCCCCGACGGGGGGGGGAGAGGAGGTCCCGGGGGGGGGTCCCGGGGGAGTCCCGGGGAAGTCCCGGGTCAGATACGACACCTCCCTCCCCCACCTTCTCGTCCTTCTCCCCGTTCCCCCAAACCATCCCACAGCCCGTGCCTCTTGCTGCGCATTGCGAACAGGGTCGGCGGCACCGGCCGTCAGGCCTTCGCAATAATCAATATTGGACAAGCTGGTGGGGGAGAGGCAGGTCTTTTGATCTGGTGCCATCAAGGCACCTCCAGTCCTACGAACAACCCCCGACGCCTCGACCAAGCTAGGGTCAAGGTTCCAATCACAACCGACAACGAACATGTGTTCTCGTTCAAGCCTCTCCCCCACCAGGCGAAGAAGCGACACGTTCATCTGGCACAAGCCAGTTCCACTCTTAAGATATCCGCAGACCACCTGGAGAGGCGGCCAAGAGGGTATGTCAACAACAACATGGATCAATCGTCCTGGCCAGAGCGTGCCCGAGCCATCCTGGGGCCACCTCAGACCCAAATGCTTTCGAACGAACACAGCCACCCCCGCCCTCGTCTGACCACCTTCGCCAGGGAGGGATGGGGAGGAAAGCATTTTCCAACCGAGGGCCCCCACCGCCGCCGCCTTTTCACCCTCTCGCTCCTGCACGAACCCGACCTCCTGCGCCAACAGGATACTCGACTCTGTGTGACACAGACGCTCACGTAGAGTAGGCCACGAGTTGCCGTTATACGTTTCAATGCAGAAGCCCCGACTCAAGAGCAGCTCGGAGGTCGAGTCGGGAGAGGAAGCGGGGGGAGGTTGAGGAGGCGCAGGCACTCCGAATTTAGACAGAGGCAAGCCACAGCAGCGGGGCATGAGACTACCCTGGCCGCTTCTGCTTGCCAATCTTGCGGAGCACAAGTCTAAACTTAGCACAGAAGGCCTCGCGGTCCAGGTTGCTGGAGGCGAGTATCTCATCTGCCATCTCGAAGTCGAGCTCGATGTCGTCGGGCTCATTGTTGCTGTTGCCTGTAGCCTCAGCGTCAGTAGGAAACCCAGCACCAGAGCCAGTGGCGCCCTTCTCGAATGGAGACTTGGCGACTGCTGTAGCTCTCTTCTGCTTGTGGTTGTTGCTCTCTGTGAGGACACGTGCGAAGTCCTTGAAGGCCTGCGAGTCCATGAAAGCAGCGATGGAGTCTTTACTGGGATGGTTGTCCAAAAACTCTGTGTCCAGCTCGAAAGTCGCCGCCACAGGGTTTGGCATCGTATCTTGAAGCTCTTGATGCAGGACACGAATCTCCTCCTCCGCAGACGAGATCTGCGCCTTGGACGAGTCGATCTTCTCTTGTGCTCTGCGTATAACATCGAGCTGATCCTGCACCACTTGCTCCAGCTGGGCTTTCTTCGCAGAAGCCCTCTGAAGCCTGTGCCCGACCGTGGTGTGACGTGTGAGCTGGGGTTTCGTCTCTGCCAACGCTTTCCTTGCATCACCAAGACTGCGTTGCAGGGCCTCCACAGCATCTTTACCAGCTTCACCAGGCAGCTTTTTGCAATTGGCCACGGTAATCTCCAACTGATTGATCTGCTCTCGAAGTTGATCAGCCTCTTTGCTCTCCTTATCTTGATCGGGATCCTTATCTTTGTCAGGTGACGGAACTGCATCTGGTGGTCCCCTCTGCCCCGAAGATGCCAGCAGCTTGTCGATCCTCTTTTGCATTGCGTCGAGCTGCCGCTGCATGGGATCACCTCCCTGCGGGCCCCGAGAACGGCGAGGAGGCCCTTGACCCAGGTGACCATTCGGTGCAGCAGCAGCAGCACGTTCTTTAGCACGGCGGTGGATGCTAGCAGGAGCAGACACGCCACACCTGCATATAGTCCGGCACGCCCAGTTCGCGTTCCGTCCGCAATTGTTACACGACCATGTCGGTTGACGGGGTCCATGGAGTACTTCTCCAGCGTCGCCCCCGCCATTGGATGGTGCCATGCGCCTGGGCACTGAATGCGGAGCGCCCTCGCGGGCTCGTAGTCTGCCTCCGCAGAGGCGTTCACGGAAAGGGTAAACCCTTGGCCTGGGCAGGCCGTCTGAAGGGCACCCTGGAAGCAAAGACACGCCGAAAGCCTCCCAAGCCTGCCGCACGGCTTGAGCCAAAATGGCTTGAGCCAAAATGGCTACGGCCCTCCTCCTTTTGCCGTCTCCCTCTTCCGCCTTAGGCTTCCTGCTCCTACCTGCTCCCTGCTACAATCCGTCCTCCACCTCCTGCTCCCTCCCCCTCCTGCTCCTGCCTGCGTCTCCTCCTGCATCCTTCCCGCCACCCTGCTCACTCGCCACTACCTCCCTCCATCTCTGCCCCCTCATCCTGCCTGCCGTCTTCTGCTCTGCCGCTGCCTCCTCGTCCCACTGCGGTCCCTCCCCGTCAGGGTCAACAAGTCAACGATAGGGGGTGGAAACTTTGCGATCTATCGCCCCTATCGCCTAGAGATCGGCGATATGCCCCGATCGGCCTCTGGCGGCGACGAATCGGCGATTTGGGGTTGATGCATCCACCCTTGTCCCCCCTAACGCTGCCCCTGATACTTGCGGGCGCACGAGGATCGGGGGCACGGGGTCATCAGGAGATGGTGAGGAGAGACGAGCCCAAACTAATTAGGGGATTGTAACAAGCGAGAAAGCAAATAGAGACGAAAAGCAACGAGAAGAAGGAAACCGACACTGAGTATTGCCGAGGAAGGACGGGACGAGCGAGGGAGCGAGTACAGACGAGGAAGGACAAGTGGAAGGGACGAGAGTAGGGAGGAAGCTGGAGGAGGTGAGGAAGGATGAGGATGGGAAGGATGAAGAGGAATGAAAGGGAGGAAAACGAGGACGCGGAAGGGACCAGAGAAAGAGGGAGAGGGAGGAGGAGAAGGAGGACGGAACACGACTCTCCTCCTCCTCCTCCTCCTCATCCTCCTCCTCCTCCTCCTCCTCCTCCTCCTGCGCATGGGCAAGGGCAGGGAAGGGTGTGGGGGTGGGCAGCGCGAGAGGGGGCCAGCAGCGACCGAAGCGCTCCTTGAAGTTGCAGTTCTGCGGGGTGACCTCCGCGGGAAGCCGCCGTCCCCCCTCCACATGACCAGCATGGTCGTCAAAGTCTTCCTCCTCCTCGACTCCCTCCTCCTCCTTCTCGTCCTCCTCGTCTTCCTCGTGCTCCTCCTCCTCCTCCTTCTTCTCCTTTTCCTGCAGGTCTCCCCTCTCCTCTTCCTCCTCCTCCACCTCTTCCCTCTCCACCCCTTCTCGTCCACGCGCTTCCCTCGCCCCCTTGCCGTATCCCCCACGACGTACCCCGCCTCCCACCGCCCTCCCCCGTACAATCTCCCCAGCTTCCTCCTGCCGCTGTTCCTCGCTCTCCTCCTCCTCCTCCCCCTCCTCCTCCTTCTCCTCCTCCTCCTCCTTCTCCTCCTCCTCCTCCTCCCTCTGTCTCTTCCTCCTCATCCCCCAACTCTACATCTCCTTCCCCGGCCCTATCGCCCATTGCACTCCCCCCAGTCCGACGCCCACTGCGTCCCTGGAGGTCCCTAGGGAGGGGCCCGTCTCTGAAGACCCCTGGAAGCCTCCGCGGAGGTCTCCCGAGCGCCCCGAAGTCCGAAAAACTGTCAGACACCGCGGTCATCGAACTTCGACCCCCTGACCCCGATCCTCCTGTCCCCCTGTCTCCCTCCCGTCGCCGCCGTCGCCCGTCGTCGCCGACGCCGTCGGCGCAGCCGAATGCGCCCTCGCTTTCGCCGTCGCGGTCGTGGTCGACAGCACCTCCGTGTTCGCCTTGCTGCTGCCGCCGTCGGCCGCTGCCGCCGCCGCCGCCGTCGGCCGTGCCGTCGCCGCCGCCGCCGCCGTCGTCGACGACGCCGCGGTCTCTTCGAAGGACGCGCCCGTGGCCCAAGAGGGAAGAGAAACGACTGAGAACTCGTTACTCAAGCCTCGATATTCTGTGGACGACGGCGATGGGTCGGACGAAACGGGGGGAGAAACCATGGGTGATACCCCGGCGCCTCCCAGCGCCGCAGGCACCCATGTATCGAGGAAGTCGGAAAGCGGCGAGGCCAAGACCAGCTGCACGCAGCACATTGCGCCCCCCCCTTCCCGATCCCCTTTGTCTGATGGGCCTGTTTTCCACCAACACCACCACCATGGGTTGGGGGAGAAGGAGGTGGAGGACGAGGCCGAGGAGGAGGAGGACGAAGAGGAGGAGGACCAAGAGGAGGAGGTGGAGGAGGTGGAGCAGAAGGAGGATGAAGAAGACCCGTTTCCCCTCCAACTTATGGTGGTGGTGGTGGAAAACAGGCCTGTCATTTGTCGTCCGACGCGAGATGATAGCGGCGCAGCCTCCGCGCCGTTGGAGAACTTGCCCGTGCAGTACGAAACGTGGAGGGGAGACGGGCACACGTAGACGTCGCACCTCGGCGCATCGAGGCGCGAACGGAGGCAGGGCTCGACCTAAACAAGGTTAGTTGTGTTCGTTGTTTTCGCGTGGTTTCGTTGTGTTCTCGTTCGTCCTGTGCTGCGAAGCGAAAACGGCCCAATACAGTGCCCAAAGAACGCTTAGCTCGAGCCCTGGTCGAAAGATCGCCTCCACGGGTGGTTTCCTCGGATTTAGGGGACTCGATCGGAATTCCCGTGGCCACCATGCTACCAGAACGCAAGGCAAAGAACTGAGGCGCTTGTCTGAGCACCAAGCGTCCGCCACGATTGCGTCCCCCGGCCCACAGTTGAGGAGCGGACACCACGGCCGCTCCTGAACCCCAAGTGGTCTTCACACCCGAAAACATATGCGAACGACGAGTTTGGGCTGCCAGTCTCGTTGGCAGCACGGGCGCGTTGCCCGTAGTTCCGCAGCTCCTCCTCGCCGTCGTTTTCCTCATCCATCCTTCCGTAGCCCCCCGACAGGAGGGGGGGGGCAAGGCAATGGTGGAGGACAACGGAGTGGGCGGCGGCAGGGCGAAGGGGAACACTGATCGAGCGCTGAAGCAAGGATCGAGGGGATATTACCTGGCGCATAGCGAAAACCAACGGGGGACAGACAACGGCCGCCCCTCGGACAACGGCCGCCCCTCTCGTCCTTGCGGACGCCATGGGGAAACACAGATTCACGGCTGTCTTTGCGAAACTTGAAATGAGAGATGGGGGCGAAGTTGGGGGCAGGGAGACGGTGCAAGAGAAACATAAACAAGGGAGGTTGGGGGGTGGTAGACGTATCCAAGTGCTGTGCTTTGATGAGCATGGAGGCTGGAATGAAATAGCCTGCTAGCTACACGTATCACACACATCAAATGCTAGCATTGGACATGCTTCATCGCGATCGTATCATGCGATGATGGCATAAACAGTCATAAGGTGTACGTGAGTTCAATTACTGATTTTCGTGATTCACGGATGGGCTACATACCGATTTGAACGGAAACAGCGCCACCAAATTAAACAAGTCACCGCAAGCTAAGCGATTCTGCTGAACAGTATTACAATTTAGACCACTTGAAGCTAATTCAACACAAACTGGTATAAACATGTAAGCCGACATGTTTCCCGACCGTGGCAACAGAAAGCTACGCGCATAATACCCAATGACCACGCGCGCTGCCTGCCACGCGCCGCGGCACCATGCGCGGACAGACTCACCCACCCCTGAAAGAACAACTGTCTCGCGCCAAAGACCCACGGGAGCTTTAAACTGGGACGTGGAATCGCAGGCGACCATGAAAGCACAAACCACGCAGAACCAAGGGTCCTATACAAACAACGAGTAAACCGAATCGCGGGTTCGAGCCAACACGCGCCGAACAATGCCATGCGCGCGGGCTCAAGCCATGTTTGAAGAGCCACATCGACCGCGCGGCAAAGCACAATGCCGCGACTGCAACCGCCTGCTCGCTACGTCCCCATTTTCGCTGACCTCGAAAGCTGCCGGACACAGGGTGTTCATCGTTTTGTCTGCCCACGTCAGCACGCCGCCCTCAAAAACAACGGCAGTCTTCCGGAGGCACTGGCCGTGCGCGTCAAAATTGCGGCCTGCCCCGTCAAATGGCGCCGGCATGCTTGCGCGCGAACCTCAACCGCGCAGCGTGGCCATGAGCACTGGCCCCCAGGCGCCGCCGCGGGCGCGCCGCGGCCGCGGCGGCGCGCGCCTTCTCTTGCGCATCATGTTCAGGCCGCAACGCTCGCGCCATCCATGTTAGCGGGCGAAACTGGCGTGCCTTGCGCCCGTCTGCGGGGGCCGCGTCGAGCGCGCTCGCACTGCTCCCCCGCCCTGCAACCTTCGCGAGTTCATTGAACAGCGTCAGCATCAGGGGACCCCTCTCCTCATCGCGGACCCCGCGCCTGACCTCGGCCTGCACCTGGCCGCGCGCCCACACGCGCGGAGCAGACGCAAACGCGCGGCGCCCCCGCCCCTCCCCCGGCCCCTCCACCCGCGCCCCCTTCTGCTCTCGAAGGCGCGAGCTGGGCTGGCCCTGCCGCGACGGGCCCCCGCGCAGCATGCTGCGCGAAATCTACTAGCGATGAATTGGACATGCCCGCGCGCAGATCAAAGTGGACATGCCCGCGCACTGGGCGCGCAGGGCGAATTGGGCATGCCCGCGCGCTCCGCGTCTCCCACCGTCACCGCAAAGCGCCTCAGAAAACCATTGCGCGGGCGACGGTGGCTTCCTGGCGCGCACAGCTCTGTTCCGCGCCACCGCCACGCCCCCCCATCTCCGCTGGCCAACGCTCAGCGGCGATCCCCCCACCCTGACGACGCGCGTCCGCCCTCGCGCAACGCGAGCTGCAATTGGACGCGCGTGTTCATGCGCGTCGACACCATCTGCGCAAGCCACTGCCAAACAACGCGCAGCGGCCACGGGCCCGACGAGGAATTCGGCTCTGGCTCGTCGACTGGGAAGCGCTCCGCACTTTTCCCCTCGCCCGCAGTGCCAGCGGCAGCGACGCGAAGGGCGCGCCGACGTGGGCCACGCGGACACACGTGGACCCAATCTCGGGGGCCTTCTGTCGAGCTCCCTATGGGGCCACGGAACATGCGAGACGAATGCGCGCGTGCGCACGCGCCGAGATCGGTAGCGCGGTCGCATGTGGGCCCTGCCGCTGGGGTTCTCGATGGGGCTCCCTATGGGGCCACGAGACGCGTGAGGGGTGTAACAACATGATCATGACATCGGTCGCGTGGACGAATGTAAATCCCGTCATTTCGGGCTTGGTGAAGCCCCGATATCGGGTCACGGAACGTATGACTGGCGCGCCAATGCGGGACGTGCAGACGCACGTGGACCCTGCCATTGCGGCCTTCGGTGGAACCCCCTATGGGTCCACGAGACAAGTGAGGGGCGCATCGCACGTAAATCCTGCCACTGGGGCCTTCGGTAGAGCTCCCTATGGCCCCACGAAGCGCGCTGGGAGGCGTGTCGACATGGGCCGCGCGGGGGCCATCGATAGAGCTCCCTATGGGGCCACAAGGCGTGTGAGGGGCGCACCGCCGGCGGAGCCTTCGCCGGAGCCCCCCGCGGGCTCATGTAAACCTGACCGTTGTGGCATTCGGCGGGTCTCGACCATCAAGGGGCACGGCGTCTCCAAATCAGCGTTGCGAATGAGTGTCGCATGAAAACGGCTTAACCACCTGAGCTAAAGGGCACCTCGTCCCTGGCGGCCGCAAGGCCAACGGTCTCCGGCACGATGTCGATCGGCTCGAGGAGCTTCGCTTCCTCCTCCGCGATGGCGAAGAATTCCTTCTCGACGTCGATGCCGTCGTCGCCCGCCAACTGTCTGGCAACGGTGCTGCCGACGCCGACAGCAATGAGGCCGGTGGCGGTAGGCCCGGGCAGCTGCGCTGTTGATGCTGCGGCTGAAGCTGCTAGTGCCGCTGAGGCCGAAAACGAAAGCTTGCGCCAAAAGGCTACGGACACACACACACACACACGCACGCGCACTCTCGCCCGAACGCGCGACAAGGAAAAACCGAAGGACAGCCACGACCGACCAATTCCACGCAGCACGCATCACCATGAACCCCGATCACCCTGCGCGTCACGAGCAACAGCAATCACTCAGCCGAGACCACACATGAAAACACGACGTAGGCACATGAAGAAAAATACACAACACACACACACACCAAACGCAACAAACACATACACAATATCGCCCCCCACTCACGAAAACACCATGCACCGTAAGCAACAAGCAGCAGGCGGCACACCCCAACTGCAACAGCAAATCACACCATGCAGCAAAATATAAACTGAAGGGCCCGCCAACAACAATCACAATACAGCACGCACACACACCACCAGCAGGCAGCACTCAGCATACGCCACCAACAATTGAACCACATTGCCATCGGCAAAATCGCCCGCGTCATCAACATCATTATTATCACGCTCCTCGTCGTCCTCATCCGCATTGCTCCACGCCCCGCCTCCTCCGCATGTTCCGCAACGCGGCGCGTCCTCCCCACTCATGTTCCCCACTTCCGACTTACCCACGCCATCCTGCTCCGTTACGCCCGCCTTCAACGTATCACGTTTCGCCCTCCCCCCATTCGGCTTCTTTCGCCACCACAACTTTATCCGCCCCGATCATTCCCCGACCTGTCCTCAACACTATCATCGCTTGTTTCGCCCTCGTCATCGTTATCCGCCTCCTTTCCTTGCGTCCTCGTCGCCCCTAGCTTGTCTTCTGATCCCCACCAGCCCCCCCCCGCCCCGATCCATCTTCCTCCCCCAAAAAAACACACGCGCACGCACAAGCGCGCGCACACACATTCGAATGCCCCGCTTTATCCTCGTCGCCGCGTCTCCCCGTTCCTCGCTACAAGTCCTCGTCAATCCTCCGCCTCCTCGCCTTCGCCCCCATCAGATGCTGCCCAGGTTTGACTTCAACTGTGTCCCTTCGTCGACACTCCCCCTCCTCATCGACCCCTTTTTTTCCACGCCTTCCGTCTTTACCCCCAGCGCAGCTTTCCCTAATCGTCCTCCTGGCTGCTCCTGTTGTGCGAGGATAAAGCTTCAGCTCCAGCGGCTGCGTCCTGCATCCCCTCATCCCCCTCCCATATCCTCGCCACGGTGGACTCGTCTTCGTGGACGGATCGACCCTAACATGTTTAAACATTGATTCCGACTGGTTTAACGTACTTTGATGTGTTCTAACATAGCGTTCATACATTGACCCGAACGGTTTAATTTATTTCATGGGGCGTTGCAAAAACTATCCCATGCTACACACATTGAACATGTTGCCTACCTCCTGTACCGCGTTGCCCTGCATAGCTGCAACCATTCAACACACAGATTTAAACACACAGAATAAACTCAACAATGGCCCTGTCCATCCAAATGGGGTGTACAATGTTGCGAATACATTCGCTACCAACATTCGTGTTCTTCCCGTTGTCACTACCGCGACGGAGTGAAAACCATAATAGGAACGAATAACGCAAACGTCACCAATTTGTCGCCGACCCAGTCGGCGCGTGTGAGAAACTTTTCCGTCTGTGTCGTCGTCGCCGCTCCACCCGATACGTTCCGCCCAGATGGGAACTGGGCATATCCCAATTGGATCGAAGGGGAAGCACCCCCCTTCCTTTTGATCTCTCCCCAGCCGGAGGGTGGAGGGGGTCCCAGGGGGGGGTCCTGGGTGAGGATCCTGGGGGGGTGGGAAGCGGTGTGTGACCCCCCGGGGACAGATCACAACATGATCTTATTCGTTGCGGGTTACACGTTGATTCCTGGGGTGCCAGAGTATACAAAAATTCTTTTCACGGCGGGCTAAAGTTTGACTCCTAGTGTGGTGGATTTGACATTACTTCGCTCCGTGGCAGATCGCAATTCCATTACCTCGCGAGTGATGCCTATTATGGCGGCCACGCGTTGATGCCCTGTGTGGCGGAAATCGAACTGACTTCGGTCGTACCGCTATTCAAAAACCAAGCCTCGTGCGGGACCCCTGCAAACGCAGAAATTGTGGAAATATATGGTCCAGGGTTTGGCCCCCCCCCCCCAATGCTGATGCCATTGGGCCCCCCCCCCCCGCGCGATGGTCCCCCCGCCCCCCCTGTGGGCGTGGCGTGGTGCTGCGCTGCGGTCCCCCCCCCCCCTGTGGATGTGGTGTGGTGCTGTGGTGGTTCAGAGGTGGGCGTGGCGTGGTGTTGCACTGCGGTGCCCCCCTCCCCCCCCCTGTGGATGTGGTGTGGTGTGGTGCTGTGGAGGTTCAGAGGTCGTCGTCGTCGTCGTCCTCGTCGTCCTCGTCGTCCTCGTCGTCGTCGTCGTCATCGTCGTCGTCGTCATCGTCGTCGTCGTCGTCATCGTCGTCGTCATCGTCATCGTCGTCATCGTCGTCGTCGCCGCCGCCGCCGGCGTCGTCGCCGCCGCAGCCGTCGTTGTCGGCGTCGTCGTGGTCGTCGTCGTCGTCGTCGTCGCCGTCGTCGCCGTCGTCGCCGTCGTCGCAGCCGTCGCCGTCGTCGTCGTCGTCGTCGTCGTCGTCGTCGTCGTCGTCGTCGTCGTCGTCGTCGTCGTCTCTGGGACCATACCATCTGGGGGGGGGGGGGGCGAGGACTCCTGGGACCATACCATCTGGGGGGGGGGGGCCCGTGGGCCCTCGACATTGGATCATATATTCAAACATTCGTTCTTAGTGTGGCTGCTGTACACATTGATTATTTGTGGTGACCGTACACTTGTTCCTGGTACGACGGGGTGTAGCACATTCTTTGCAACGGATTACAAATTGATTCCCTTTGCGGCGACCTTGCAAAAACACGTGTTTGTTCCGGGGCTCCTTCAAACGATTGAGGGGCGGGAGGGGAATGGAATGGAGATGGAGTGGATGGACGGAGCGGGGGGATGGAAGGGGTGGAGGAGAAGGGGGAAGCGGACACGGGGGAGGAGCATGACGAGAATGATGGACAGAGGGAGGACCATGATAGGGAGAAGGAAGCGACAGAGGAGGACTGCCTACCTCCACGCCACTCCCCAACTTCCACTCTTCGCCACCAACCACCTCCGCATTACCTGTTCGCACTCCTCCTCATTCCCCCTCCCCGTCCTCCTCCTCGTCCTCGCGTTCCATCTCCTCTCCGTTCATCCTTTCTCCATCTCCTCTTTCCCCATCGCCCCCTCCCTTTCTTCATCGCTCCCTTCCCGGCCATCCTTCCTTCGCCCACCTCCCCACGTCCTGCCGTGCCCTCCCAAAAACGAGGCGGCGGCTGTGTCTGGGCCTTTGTGGGGTAACGGAAATGGAGAAGCAGTTGTTCACTGTTTCCAAGGTCCTTTGAAAATGGCAGCGGTGAAAAACAAGGGATTGGAGCCCGGCAGAAACTTGCAAACAAACGGCGACGAAACCCAGAACAAAAAAGCGGCGCCAAAACCAACAACAAAAACGGCAAAACGGAATCGGAAACAAAAACGGCACTGTCGTTGCCAGTGCCAGTAAGATCAGGATTCCTTTCAGAAAACCTCGCCACCAGATTCTTGCTTGGGTGGTTGCTTCGGGGGGAGGGGGACAGGGCCTTGTCGCCGAGCACGAGACGAATCTTGGGCTGCTGTCGCAGGCAGCGAACACGTCCTCATCCTTCTCATTCTCCTGCCTCCCGTTCCCTCCTTCGTCCTAGTTTCCTGCCTTCCCCATCTCCGCCCACCCCTGCCCCGCTCACTATTTTGGATTTCCTGTGCCTGTCCCTGTCCCCCCGCTCCCCGTCATATTATCATCCTTCTCCTCCTCCTCCTCCTCCTCCTACTCCTCCTCCTCCTCCTCATCATCATCATGAGCATGAGCATCAGCATCCGCGGCAGAGGGATCAGCCAACGATCTGCCGGTCCGCGGAACGTCGCGAGTGCGGGGCTGGAATCGCGCGCTGGGTTCCGTTCTTGCTGGTGTCGCAGGCCTGGCGGGGAGACGCAGTGGCGGGGACGAAGACTGCGGAGCCGAGCATGTCCCAGGTACGTGCCTAACCCATGCGCAGCGAGTGCAATATCAACGAGCCCGCCCAGGACGATTGCGCATGTCATAAGCCATGTGGTCCTGTACTTCCCATGTGGGGACTCTTTCGTGGCACGCCCACTTGGACCTGTGTGAGGCGCTTCTCATCCGATCTGCAACAATAGCTTTCCGCATGTTCCCCCTCTCGCGCGCATGTCTCTTCCTGACCGCCCCCCTTCCCCCCTTTGTCGGCACTGACCCTGATCGTCTCAAGACCGGCATGTGGTTTTCAAGACCGGAATATATATATATATACACATACATATACATATATATGTATGTGCAAATATGTATGTATTGTAAATTATGTGGTTCGCATGGTCCGCAAATGTAGCACATTTTGATACCCAGTGCAATCAGAAGCCGGCCTCTGCCACAGGCAGTGATCGTCTCGGGTGCCTGCTCGGCGGTCTTGACCCAAAGCGAAATGTGCCCTTGGGCCCAGTGGTTCCCGCCACTTTCAGGCTGTACAGAGAGCTTTGAGATCCCACCGCAGTGGAGCCCAGTTTAGCCAACCCGATGCGCTCACAAGTTATCCCCCCCCCTTCCAGCCGACCGACTCCGATCCCTTGCACTGGCATCCCTGTGCATTGCCAGTCTACTGTGTTCCATCGCATCGTGTAGCATAGCAGTTCAGCATGTGCCCCTAAGAGGGGGGAAAGCCAGCGGCACATAGCGTTGGTTCCCACTGTGTTGAAGCGCGCGCGCATGTGCCTGTTGCACTGTCGTTTGCACTCTCTCTTCTCTCGGACCTGCCTCTGCGGAGGCAGGCGCATCCAGCATCCTGCTCGTCTCAGGCCCTAGCATAAAGGAACAACACAAGGCATGAACATAATGTTCTGAGGTCCGCGCGGATGTCTTAGATCGGCGCTATACCCCCGCGTTAGAGGCGGCGCTGGAAGCGCTGCCAGTGGGGCCTATCCAGGCAATATGTTCGGATCTTAGAGGAACTAGGTGTATGACGCGTTTTCGTGGACGCCAAAATTCAGAGAACTCGAACCCACTCGGTCCTCGATCCTCCTCCTCCTCCTCCTCGTCCGCATTGTGGAGAGCCAGCCTGAATGTTGGCGATCAGCCCGTCCAGGTCGGCCGCCTTCTCCGGGTTGCACTTCCAATTGCCCCCGACAACGGGCCTCACCCCAAGCCGCCGCCCGCGCACTCCCACGCGCTCGTCGCAGTCATCGCCGTCACGGCTGGCGCCGCCAGCGCCGTACCCAGAACTCCGACGTCGTGTTTTTTGTCGACGTGTGGTCCTCCAGAGGTCTTGGGATGTTCCCTGGGACTGGTCAGTATTTCGTCTCTCGTCCCCGACTCGTTCGTTGACGGCCCCGGGGAATGATAGCTCCAAGATGGCCCAACATAGTAGTCTCAGAACAGCCCAAGTAGCCGCAAAGGGAGTCTCCAGAAAGGTCCGAAGTGGCCACAACCATTGTTGTCCCTTTGGTTTTTGAACGAGGATCGCATTCTCGCCTTTTCAAGCTTACGTCGTTTCAAGACGGCCCGAAAGGCCTCACACATGGCCCCTCGACGGCCCAATATGGCCTCACGATAGCCTAACACGCCTCCAAGACAGCCTCAAGCCAGCCCAAGAGGGCCCCTAGAGAGCTCAGGACGAACCCAGGAAAGCCTCAAGCTGGCCAATGGCCTCCTGGAGGGTCCCAAGACGGCCTAAGATGACACCTGGACGACCCAAGAGATTTGGCAAGGTGGCCCCAAGACGGCCCCAAGAAGGACCCAAGAGTGGGAACACGAACCAGGAATTCGAGCCTTCTGCCCCAAGAGGCCCCTAATAGACCTCTTTGCCTTCTCCAACAAATGCCACCCAGACTGCCGCGCTGGCACGGTGGCAGCATTGCCGGAGGCAGGACGTAAATAAGAGGAGAGCTGCAATACGGGCTGGCGGAAAGAGCGAAGCGATTGATTTCACTTTCCTCCCGTCATCGGGGACGCTTGTCCCAGGGCGGCTTGAACATGTACTCCCGCACGCACGACGTGGCGGAAAGAGCGAAGCGATTGATTTCACTTTCCTCCCGTCATCGGGGACGCCTGTCCCAGGGCGGCTTGAACATGTACTCCCGCACGCACGACGTGGAAATGGACGTGGGGGTATAGACTTTGCAACCGCCCTGGGACAGACGGCCCCGACAGCGGAAATATTATGTTGCAAAAGTCTTCGCACGCAGAATCTGGGCCTCCCTGGAGAAACAGAAAGAACAAGAGGTCCGCGAGAGTGAGGACCCAAATCTCCGACGACTTCTTAAGTTCGGCCTCCGGAGCCCGTCACCGGACCCCTGGAACATCTTATTGGGGGCGGCCTCTGAAGGGGAAGGGGCCTGGCTCGGGGGGGGGGGGAAGATTGAATCGGCGACGGATCGGTGAGGGACCCTCGATAGCGAAAGGCAACGTGCCCCAGCCCCAATCGGCGAGGAATGGGCGGGTGGCGGACGATGCCCCCTCCCCCACTGGGACACTTTCTTAGACACTCAACCCTGTCTAGTGAAAGAACGAACTGCATAGACATGCAAAAGGCCCGCGCGGGCTTCTGGGAGCAAGACGCGACAGTTAACGCGGGGGGGTCCCAGAGCCAATGTAAGAGATCCGGGCGGAGCCCCTGAAGTATATAAGTATGCAGCGGCTTCTGTTCCGACTGTCGCTGCCCCTGGCAATCTGGGGCCCCCATGTGGGCCAAGCCCACTTCTGGCCCGACCTCTTTGCGAAGTTATCCGGAAGGACTCCCAGGTGGAGCCCTCTGGGCGGAGAACTCCGCGGGGAGACCCCTGAAGAAAGGCCTCCGCGCCTAACCGACTACCCGTGATACTAAACCCCTGGGGATAATAACATTTGGGGTCTGGGGGGGATAATAAGCGATTTTCCCGGCAGAGGATTATGGTAATGATGATGATGACCCTGGGCGTTCGTGTAACTAGATCCTCGCACGAAACTGTCCTTGGTGTCGTCGAGTCTCGCGCTTACAGGTGGCCTGAGCAGGAGAGGTCCTTGGCGCCCCTGGCCAAGAAACCTCTCTTCCGTACCACTGTCCCCATGGGCCTGCCACACGTTCCTGGCTCGGGAAAGGCTGAGAAAGTGAGAATCCCATGGCCCTCCCGCACGTTCGTGATTTGGGAAAGCTGAACCATAGCCCTGCCACACGCTCGTGACTTGAGAAAGCTGACATGGTGAGACCTCCATTGCCATGATCAGCGTTTTTGATGATGCCGCTGGTCAACAAAAGAAGATAACAACTTCGATTCGCAACTTCGCTTCGCGGTCATCGAATTCGGCCTCGCCACCGCCCCTCCACAATCATGTCTGTCTGACTGGGGTAATACCACTCAGGGGTCAAGGGCGGGGGTACTCTTTATTGTCTGGGGAAAACGGTTATCACCCGACTGATTTTGCCTCCGGCTTCGCTCTCCGCGCGCAGCGCACTCACGAAGCCCCTGTTGAGAAGGGAAAGCATCTGCCAAAGCCGCGAGGCACAAAGCGTGGTAATCGTAACCGACATCCTTCGATGGGAAGTCTCACCCAAACCGCCGAAACAACAGCCTCCGAGGGGCCCACTCGGCGGAGGAAAGCGGGGCCTGGGGCCAATGGGACGCCCATGCAGGCGACTTGTGTTGAGTCCGTGCGCAGGTGAAGTGGGAGTCGGAGGCCGGAGGGGGCTGGGGGGGAGGAGGGGCTGCGTGTACGAGTAGTCACGCGCAGTCGCACGCCTGTACATGCTGCCTGTCTCCTTGCGACTAGCTGCGCGTCTGCCCGCGGCAGGTTGATACTGGCTGCTCCTGCCAACGCCCCCGCCGATCACAATTACACTACTCCGTCCCATCGCGTCACCGTTCCTCCTCGTTCTGCGGCCCATCATGCTTCCTCCCCCAATGTTTCATTTCCCCGTTCCTTCTCTTCCTCCTCCCGACTCCTTCCCCCTCCTCCCCCCTCTCCAATCCAGCATCCATGGCGTCGTGTACGGCGCCCTGCCACGCACGCCCATGCTGTCCCAATGCGCTGAGTTTGGAGTTGTCCGCCGTCACGTGTCCTTGCGGACCTGGACTCCCTCATATGACCCCACGTGTGATGCGCAATGCGAGAGGGCCGGCTGTGTACGAGGGAATCGGACAAGGAAATGAGGCCCGCGCTGAAAGAGAACGCCATTTTGAACGACGGAAACAGTGTCGATCCCGAAGTCAGGCCACCGCTGCAGCGCGAACACCAAAGATAGCACATACCGCTCTGATTGTAGCGGCATGTGTACATATATATATATATATATATATATAGAGATGTATCTACACACATGTATACACATATATACATGACACAGATGTTGGGCCCCGTGCTTGACAACTATACTGGGGACAGGCGGGGCCACGAAAGGACAGGTTCTGCCGGCGAGAACAGTTCTCACAATAACGATCTGCAGGATGAGGACGAGGAGGAACCGAACGAGGAAACGCGGAGGCAGGAAGCACAGGAGAAGCAGCAGGGGCAGGAGCCTATAATTGGTGGTGGGGGGCGCAAAAAGTATCAATGACACGCCGCCGCGGGGAACATACCAGTATGTCACTGCCGAGATGCACAAGCTATCCAAACAACATCGGAATGATTGGCGCGCTGGCGGGCATCCGACGGCGGCGTCTCAATATTCTTTCTCCGGGCACACGCCAGCATAAAATACAGGTCCGTCAATCTGGCGCGGCGGCAGTTCCATGGATCGGGGAAACGAGCCCCGAAACATGAGGCCGATGCCGCCTGATTTGGCGGCACTGGGGCTAAGAGGGCGGCTGCGACCGCAGCCGGTCCATTACGATCACCACGGCCGCCTTGTCAAACGAGATGACTGTGTGAGCCTGCCTGGGAGGCCTGAAATGGGGAACCATCGTCCAGATTGCGCTTGCTCGATTTCTTCACCCCGATTAACCCCTCTCCTTCGGCCTCCTCTGACATCCCGCCACCGGCAGGGTGGGGGACGGAGGACAGGGAGGAAGGGGGTGAAGGGAGGAGGGAGAGGAGGAGGAGAAAGGGAAGCGGATGAGAAGGAGGAGGAGGAAGAAATCGCAGAGAGATCCTGCCCAAGGCCCGCGCAAGGCTTCTGGAGGCGCAGGGCAGTGGAGCAGACAGACGCTCTCAGCACCGTGACCCTCGGCCTCCCCCTTCTCCGCCTCTTCCTCCGCCCCCTCCTCCTCCTCCTCCTCCTCCTCCTCCTCCTCCTCCTCCTCCTCCTCCTCCTCCTCCTCCCACCTCCTCGTCCCGGGGAGTACTCCTCCGCCTTCCCCTGCCTCCGCCGATTTGGCACTTGGCACCCGCCTCAGCCCCAGCTCTTCTACCCCTCCTCCTCCTACTCCGCCACAGCCTCCTCCTCCTCTTCCCCATTCCCCCTCGGCCCTTCCTACGCTATACCCTACGGTCGCGCTTCCGCGAAGATCGCGCGCGACTCTGGCGTTCGCTTCGTTTCGCTTCGCTTCGCTTCTGCTCCTCCTCCTCCTCCTCCTCCTCTTCTTCCACCTCTTCTCCCACCTCTTCCCGCCTCTCCCCCTCTCTGACGTTGCATGGACATGAACTGCACGGCGGTTGCGTTCACCATCCTCTATCTCTTCCTCCCCCTCCTCCTCATCCTTGCTCCTACTCCTCCCCGCCGCCCCTCCCCCTGAGAAATACTGACGCGCCTGCGCGCTCGCATCGCCGTGGCGGCGGCCAGCACCGCTGCCGCGGCCGCCGCTGGGGAGAGGGGGGGTGGCAGCAATCAATGTCGCCCCTCCGGAGCCCTCGCCTCCTCCCTCGTCGTCACCGTAGTGGGTGGTCGTCGTTGCCGTTACCGCCGTTCAGTCCAGTGCTGCCTGCCCGTCCGACGCATCTTGCCCATCCGCCTCGCCCCCCCTCAAAAACGATGGACCACGCTCGCGAGACCACGACCCGCGCTCCCGAGAGAAGGATCCCTCGTAAACAAAACAATGGGTTCGGCCCCGACGCTGCGAGTATGGCTGGGGTAGGCAGCCCAATCCGCCGAGATGACCTAAGATCATATACCTCCCAGATGGTTTACGAGGCACCTCAGACAGCCCAAGAGGGCGACCAGAGGACCCACATTTGGGCCCAAAGAGGCCCACGCTTCCTTTGTTCCTAAGGTGTTCGAGAGATTTGGGCGTGTTCATGTTGTCGGACTCCCTTCGTCTTCATACGGCTCTCGAGGCTTCCAAGTTGGCCCCACTATGCCCCCCAGAAGGCCCCAACATGGCCTGTAAATCCTCCAAGACGGCTTCAAAACAGCCCGATAGGGCACCGAGACGATCCAGGACGGCCCCAAGAGAACCCCATTCCTAAGAGGACCTCCAGAAGGACGCGCGGCCACGTTGGAGGGCCCTTCTACGGCCCAAGACAGCTCTGCAACGGGCACAAGAGACCCACTCACGGCCCCAAGACGGCCCAAGAGAGCTTCAAAATGGCCCCAAGATTTCCCGAAGGGGCCCGAAACAACTCCGCAAGACTGGCCCACAAGAACCCCATACATGACCGAATGAGACGAAAAGACGACGAAGGCGAGAAAAGACCCCCGACACGACGCGGAAGAGCGTGTCACATAGAACGGCTCCCCTACAGTCAACCAGTATAGTAAGGATGCGCGATAAGGATGCAAGGGCCTTGGACGCCCATTTCGAAGCTGTTCGAGCGGGGCGCGGCCAGCGAAAGCGGCGAAGGATGGACCGAGGAGGCAAGGACGCAAGGGGTACCCCTGGGAAGGTTGCCCATCCTTCCTAATTATATGCGGGTTGACTGTGAGCCTCGGGGCGCGATGTGTCACACATCACGGCCTCGAGCGTGCCTCCCGAAGGGTCGTCCGCGCCAGGGCGCTGCCCTGGCACAGTGGCGGGACTCGCAGCAGTCACCTGGACATCATCGGCATCGGCCCTGCGCCTTCGACGTTACACCGGAAGATGCGAGCCATGGATGCGGACATGGCACCCATCGCGCGCGAGCGACCGAGATGCTGCAGACGCCTCGTGGTCGCGCGGGATGTTTCTCAAGCTGCGCTGCTGCACCGGCGCGGCGAGTCGCTTCCGCTAGGACTGTGAAGCAGGGCCGTGAACGAGAAATCCAAGTGTCAAGTATCACTCACGCGTCAGAGCTGCACAGGACTTTCCTCAAACTTGCGCTCCGGATTGATTGTGGAACGCGCATTTGGCTCGCCAAGTCCGCGCTTGCGCGGCGCGCCGTTTTGTTCCTGAAACTTGGCGCGGCGCATGTTTTCGCTCGCCCGCCAAAGGGTCGGAAACGGGGCCATTCACGAGCCTGCGCCGCGACATGCTTAGTGAAACATCCGATCCATGTTTGGCGCGGCGCGCATTTCGTGTTCGCTGGTCCTGTTTGGGAAAGGGAACGCCCGCAAAACCGCGAACATGCTGCTTTCGCTCACACATGTTACCCTTTGTTTCCACTGCTTGGAAGAGGGAGGGAGGGATGAGAAAGGAAGGAAGCATGAGGGAGGATGACCGAGTGGGAGGCGAAGGAGGAGCAGGAGCAGGAGCAGGAGCAGGAGGAGGAGGAGGAAGAGGAGGAGGGTGAGGGTGAGGAGGAAAAAGAGGGGGAATGAGGCTGTGGGAGGGAGGAGATGGGATGGAGGAGAGAAGGAAGGATGAGGGATGAGGAAAGGCGGCAAAAGAGCGGGAGGACGAGAAATGCAAGTGAGGAGGCGATTGGAGGGGCGGGGGATACACGGAAAACTGGAGTAAGGAGGAGAAGGAGCAGAAGGAGCAGGAGCAGGAGAAGGAGGTGCAAGAGGAGGATGAGGAGGAGGAAGGGGATAAGGAGGAGGAAGAGGAGGAGCAAGGAGGCGGTGGGAGGGAGGAGATGGCGCCCCCGTGCGATTAGCTCGGGCATGTTCTCCTACATGCAGGTTTTCGAGGACAAACCAAAAAAAAACAGAAATATTCAAAAATAATTCAAAATAGTAGAAAAATCGCCCCCGGACTACTTTTGGACTATTTTGGGATATTCCTCCTGTAGCGGGACGTGCCCGACGTACCCGTACGAGGATCGGTCCGGGCGAAAGGGGGGGATAGCAAAGGGGGGTTTGAGAATCAGCTCGCGTAGCTGATTTTCTCGGCGCCTCCCGGCGCCGGAAGCGGCCATGTATCGAGGAATGGGCCCCTCGGTGGGGCCGAAACCAGCTGCATGCACAGATTTCGTAACCCCCCCTTTCCCAATTCCCCCCCTTTCGTCCGGTCCGAGAGGACGAGGCCTGCCTATCCCCTATCTGGCTGGCCAAGCGAGAGCGGGCACACGCCTGCCACGCGCACGCCAGTGGGCGCGGAGCCCCCGGCGAAGGCGCCGTCCTCGCGCGCGGGGCAGGCCGAGGCCCGCGGGCGCCCCTCGGCGGCCGCCCTCGGCGGCCTTCGGCCGAGACCAAGATCTTGAGCAGGGGCCGACCGTCCCGGCATTTCTATAGGCCTACCACGACATGTTCTGAGAACACAAAAAATGCTCGAATAATACAAAACAGTGTTCTCATAACATAAACCCAATGTGTTAAAACAAGACAGTCCCAGCCAGAAATGTTCTAAGAACGTGTCGTGGCAAACCACAAAAGGTTCTCAGAACATCGTTTGGTAGGCCTATAGGCACGCCAGGACGCCTCGCCACTTGAAGATCTCCGAGGATCTGAACTCTGGAAACCCAATTTTTCATGGATTTCGCGGCATCTGGGGCCCTCCTCGGGCCCCAGGACCGTCAACCATTCATTCATTCACCCAGGGCGAAGAATTGGCTCCAGGGATTAGGTCGGGACATCTGGTGCCGCGCATGGAAAAATCGCGTCGTCCGACGTGCGGGCGCGGAGAAAGCCGAAGCCAGGACAGGGACAAAAACGAACCGGCGCAGACCAGGGATCTGAGATCCGGCGGTTTTGGAAGATATATCGGGCGCTGCGGCCGTTCCGCAGCGTTCGGGATTGCTATGAGAGCGTTCCCTGGAGCGCTCTGGAGCGATCAATCCGCGGGCCCACCCAGCAAGCGACCCACCAGACCTCCCATGTTTTGATGAAGCCAACAAATGGCAGGACGTCTTTGCAAATGTTCGCCTCCGGGGGCCATTGCGAAGACCCGCGGGCGTCAAAAATCTGCACGGTGTGAAGAAGCGGCCCCTGGGAAGTGGGCCCTCCCAACAAAAAAACGACAATGGAGCTCAACCCTCGGCGAGCAACATGCGGCCATCGACGGCCGTGTCGGCGACGGCGTCGCCGTCGTCGTCGCCGTGGTTTTCGCCGTCATCACAGCGGCCTTTTGCAGCCTTCGGCGTCGCCGCCGTGGTCCTCCTCCTCCACGCCATATTATCCTTCTCATCTGATGGGCCTGTTTTCCACCACTTCCACCATAAGTTGGAGGGGGGAGGAGGAGAAGGAGGACGAAGAAAAGGAGGAGGAGGAGGACGAGGAGGACCCCCTCCCCCTCCAACTTATGGTGGTGGTGGACAACAAGCCCTGCAACCGTGGCATCGGAAACCTCCAGAAACGACAGCAACACTCTGAAACGGCGACGTCGTCAACCTCCCCCAGGGGAAGAGGAGAAAGGGAAGTGAGAGGAAGGCTAAGAGGGTCTGGCCAGTGCCCTGGAAAACTGTATCGCCTTTCTCCCTTTCGTACCTCCTGTTCCTGCTCCTTCGTCGCCGCCTGAGTCCCCAACTCTACCACTTCCTGCAGGGGGTTGGGAAGGATGCGAAAGGTGGGGGATCAGGCAAAGGCACGGGCACCAGGGAATGGAGGGCGAGGAAGGTGAGGGCGAGGAGGAGATCAGAGGCGAGACGCGGATGCCCTCTCCTCCTCCTTCCCGCTCCGCGGTCCTCGCTCCCCCTCCCCTCCCCCCCTCCTCCTGCCCCTCCTTATCATGCCGTCACTCGCTCACCGCCACCTTGGCAGCCCCACGAGCGGAAGCGACGCATCATCTAGATACGCTTCAAAGATTGCCCCGGTCAGGGCCAGCAACGAACAACATCAAGGCTCTTGCTGCTTCTGGCGCCGCGGGCGATAACCTCTATCGGTGTTTGGACCCCTCCAGTAGTTGAAACGAATCATCTGGACTGGGGCCTCACCGATAGTGGAAAGTAATAGGTTCTCCGCGGCACCCGCCGCACAACAACGACGTCGACGACCACCACGACTACGATTGCGACTACGATGACGATGCGAGGACGATTGCGACTACGATTACGCCTACAACTACGACTACGATTCCGACAACCATCGCGATTGCAATCACGACTACAATCACGGTTTCACTGGCGAATACAATTGCAAACACAACCGCTGCTTCCTATTGCAATCCACGTGAGAAGATGCTCGGAAATCCTCCCGCGTGAAAGGTGGCCCACAATGGATTCGTCCCTGGGGGCGGGGAAAACAATATGATCCGGCCCGCCAAAAAATAGAAGGAACATACCCATCGCCTCGACCACGACGACGACGACGACGACTACGATAACGACCACGAGGGGTAGCAGGAGGACGAAGAGCAGGTAAGGAGGAAGTAGACGGGTTGGAGGAGGAGGAGAAGCAGGAGAAGGAGGAGGAGCGAGTGTTACCCGTCGAGGAAACGAGATCAATGATAATATTGTGTGAGCAACGCCTTCGGCGACGAATGTGTCAATCTACGTTTCCATCCTCTTACAAACATGCTCAATATTCCACGGTCGCGCTGGGATAAAGAATCCCCAATCATTATCCAGCACGGCGAACACTAGCGGGAAAATAATCGGCGGTCCGCGACGCGTGCGCCGACGACGAGAAATGAGACGAGGAGGACCAGGAGGAGCAAGAGGAGGAGCAGGAGGGGGGGAGAAGGAAGATGAGGACGAGCATGAAGAGGAGCAGGAGGACGAGGGGCGAGTTACCGCCGAGAGAAACAGGCGGGGTCCTAAAAACTGACGACATCCTCAGCTTATGCCTGTTAATTGCTGCGACGCCGGCGGGGGGGCTCGGCTAGACCAAACATTACTTCATTGACTGAACGACCGATCTAAGGTCCTGATGCGACTGGCCCAGGATACTTCCAAGGAGTTCCGGGGTCCCTTGCGGCCCACGTCCCTGTATCGCATCATCGTCACGACGTCATGCTCCTCTGTTTCTCCCTCCCTCCCACCTTCCCCTCCTCCCTTCGCCTGAGATGGAAGGAATCGCAGGCTGCCAGCAGCGATCTTGGCCCAGGGTGCCCCCAGCTCTGCAAACAGCTGTGGGGGCCCCTGGGCCTGTCAGGGCCTCGCGTGGCTGCTCTGGATGCCATCTCGGCATTCCTGCTAGGCCAGGGCGCGCGGAGCGCGCCCAGGGCGGCGCTGGAGGCGCTGCAACGGGGCAGGAGGGGGGATACGGGCAAATCTGTTGAACATCTGTCCTCGAACCGCTCCTGGTGTCCATGTTTGGCAGCGCGCACAAGGATATGGAGGGAGAGGGGAGGGCTCCTTAGAAGGAAGCTGCTTCTCAGAGGTTGCCGGCCTCACATCTATAGATCAGGCCCGCGCCTTCGAAGGACCAGGACTGAGAAGCCCCCCCCCCTCCCCCCACCCCCCCTGCGCGAGGCGCTGACATCTGGTGCTCTTTGTCATCCCAACCCAGACAGGTCCGTTTTTGACGGTGCCAGGGCCAGGCAACTGCAACGAGAGACTGGACAACAAAAACCAAACCCTGCTCGAAGCAGGCACCACGAACCGCTTCCCCGCCACCCTGCTGGCCAGAACCTGGGCCGCCTCAGATCCCCAGCAAGCTGCAAGACCAGGGCCACCTCTGGCAACATCCGGAGGCAGCCATGGCGGCTCCTCCCACGCCGCCGCGCCGCCGGCCACGGGTGCACCGCGGAGCCCGGCGCGGCTGCCGGCGGCCGCCGAGAAGGCGGACCTGGCCCGAATGCGGCACGCGGCCGCTCGCCGCCGTTTGCCGCGCGGCCGTCGCCGCAAACGTCGGCGTCGTTGGCGTCGTCGGCGTCCAGGTCGGCGTCGTGGTCGGCGGCAGCGGCACTGGCGTCCGCGTCGGCAGCGTCGTCGCCGTCGTCGTCGCTGTCGTCGTGACCGTTGTCAGCGTCGTCGCCTTCCCCCTCCCCGCGGTTTTTGACATGGTTGGCCCTTTGAGTGCCTCTGGAGGCCTTGGGAAACTTCTGGAGGGCACACGGGAAACTCAGCAGGAAGCGTACGGGGACCTCCTGAAGGTCTCTTGGAGGCCTGCGGAGGCCTCCCACCGTCGGCCTTAGCCGACTTCGCTGTCGCCATCGTCGTGTGCCCCTGGCCGGAAGGATAACGGGGACTGGCTCCAGAGGGGGGCCATCGGCCTGGCATCGGCGATACTTCGGCGATCGATCGGCAACAGGCCCCTGATGACAAAGCCGCACGCTCCTGGGCGGTGTGGGGCGCGCAGCCCCCAATTGGCGAGGAAAGGGCCACTGGGGGTCGATGCCTTCCCTGGGTCGTCCCCCCTACGTTATCCCTAAGCCACCGCGGGGCGGCCGCGCCGCGATGGGAACTTAGATGGGGAAGGCGGGGAGGGGGGGAGCCGAAAGAAGGTACGCCAAGCCCGTACCGTGATGACTCCGCCGTGCCGTGACGACTCCGCCGCCGGAGGTTACAGTTTCAACATCGGCGCTGGTATGTCAGTGGTCGAAAACCGGCCAATGCGGCAAACTCCTGGTAGTCCAGCTGTATCTGGCTTAATCCTTGGCTCGTTCTGGGCGAAACTGGTTTGATGCTCCCATATTCGGTCTGAAGTGCCTCACTCGCTGTTACGCAGAACTCCCAGAAGTGCCGTCCTGAACCCCCCCTGGCGTTGCCCACATTGTCCTTCCATGCAAGATGACAAGACGACTGAGAAAAGCCCGGAGGGCCTGTTAAGAAGCGTCGCCCTGGGAGACGAGTCGTGAAGTGGGTTCGTGGCCTGCTCGTGGGTGTTGTCGTCACTGCGATCATGTGATCCTCCTCTCCAGCGGCAGAGAACCACTCTCCGAACCGCACATCCGGGGTGCTCTTTGCATATAATCGTCTTTCGACTTTGCGTCGGCGCCTTGGCCGCCCGCCCGCCCCGAAGGCAGGCGCCACCACGTGGCACCGCCACCGTTACCATCGCCACCGTCGCCGTCGCCGTCGCCGCCGCCGCCGTGGCCGTCTCCTCTCTCTGTCCGTTGCTTCTGTGCGCACGCGTGCGGGCAGAATGGGGATGGGGGGCCATAGCAATATGAACCCAGGCCGATCTGAAGTGGCGACGTTGTCGCCGGAAGCTCAACCAGAGCCCCTGATAAGAACGAGCTGCCCCAACAGACTAGAGATTAGCAATTTTGGGGAGACAAGGAGGTACAGATACTGCTACTCCCCGGACCTCTCCCGGGGTGCGTTCTGACCGGGATTTCGAGGCAAATTCAGCTTTGCGGCGAAGACCGCCCAGGAGGCCCGAAATGGGGAAAACGGGGGCAGGGTAGAGGTATGGATAACTTTTCCTCCTCTGAATTTGAATCAAAACAAAAATCTGTGGTCAGGGTTTGGTGTGGCTAATCGCGCGACTCCGTAGCCCGGTGCTGCTGCTGGGGCACAGCGTCGCGACGTACAAGGTTTTCAAGGCTTGGAGGCGGCCGGGGGTCTGAATCGGATGGGACTCGAGAGCACGGCTGAACCTAAACGGTGTTTTCGCTTTCGCTTTGTTTTTCGTTTTTCCTCGTTTTGCTTTCGCTTCGTCTTGAGTGCAACACAAAAAGAAAAACGAAACGGCCCACGACATGGCCAGAACACCGCTTAGGTCCAGCCCTGCTCGAGAGCATCTGACAAGAAGGGGGAGAAGAGCAAACCCGCTCGAAATCGGACCTCGGGCCCCCCCTGGGGTCCATCTGGTGCAGTTTTGTACCCTGGATTCGTTTTGACGCTCCTGAGGCCGAGAAGCTGCCCACACAGGCTGAACATGGACGCAAAACCGCTCGCACGCTGTACGCATCTCGAGTTTGCTCCCACTTCCTGCCGGCCGCAACCCATGCTGGGCCAGCTCGGACCGCCAGCTGGCTCCCATTCTGGTTGTCGTCACTGGCACCAGGCTGCCCCGAACGTCGCCGTCTTAGCCGCCCCCGCGCCCCCGAAAGGCGGACGGGTGGGCGGCGGACCCGGTGCGGCAGGTCGCAGCGGCGACGACGGCGGCGAGCTTCACGAAGGCCATGGCTGCCTTCCGGGGATGCGGCGGCCTGTGGGCGAGGCGGAGAGCCAGCGAGCGGCTCAGGGCCAGCTTTCGCCCTGCTGCTCCTCGCCCTCCTCTGGTCCACGCACTGCTGCTCCCCATCCCCCTCTTCAGCCTCGACCTCCTCCTCGCCCCCCGCGTGGTTCTGCTCGTCCTTCTCGCCGTCGTCCTTCTGCTCATTCTCCTGCTCCTGATAATCCTCCCTGTTTTTCCTCCCCGATGCGCCTCCTCCTCCTCGTTCTCCCCATGCCTCTCGTCCGCCTGCATGTGTCCCTTCCCCTTCTCCCCTTCCACTCCCCCCTTGAACCACCTCCTCCTCCGTCCCCCTTCCTTGTTGCGAACTCCTGCTAGTCACACCCGGCAACGTGTCGGCAGGGCGGGCCCGGCGCTTCGCTTCAGACTTCCTCAACATAAAATGCCCTGGAGCATCAGATGTGCAACAGGCTTCTGGACGGATGGGGGGGGCGTTTCCAAAATATGGCCCGCCTCTTAGCGCCAAACATATTCGATTTAAATGTTCTCAATCATTTCATTGATGGAACACGGGATGTTTTCAGAATGCGGATGTCGCCTCAACGCCGTGAAAATTAACCCGGACAACCTCTTGAGACCCCCCTTCCGGAATATATATATATATATATATATACATATATATATATATATGTAGTTATACATATGCATATTTATATATATATATATATATACATATACATACATATGTATGTATGTATCTAAAGATTGATAAATGTGTCACTTGCGGCCCTGGAAAACAGCATGCCCCCCTTCCCCGCGACCGCGTCAATCCTGCTTCACGCTGTACACGTTCGTCTTCAAATTTTGCCAAGCGTCTCGGGTGTAGGGCGGGTCCTTTTCTTTCAGAATGTGGTTATCGCCTTAGCACCGCGCGCATGCGTCCTCTGTTTGCTGACGATTCACACATGAAGGGAGGATTATGTTTTGTTGTAGGTGGATCTTGCCTAAAGCATCGCGCACGCTCGTCTCATCAACTTGCAACAACTTCGCGGATGGAGGGCAAAATCTGTTCAGGATGTGGCTTTCGCCTGGGCGTCGCGCGCTTCCGCCATACAACAAAAAACGTTTGGCGGATTGGAGGCGGGTCGTTTTCAAAATGTGGCTCTCGCCTTAGATCCGGGCGCTTCGTTTCAAACCATCGACAAGGCTTTACGGGTGGAGGGCAAGTCCTTTCAGAACGTGCCTCCCACTTCCGCGCCGCGCACATTCGTCTTACAAGTTTGCCAGAGCTCCAAAGATGGGGTGCGTCTGTTTTGAAATATGGTTCTCGCCTGCGCGACGCGCACATTCATCTTCGAAACTGCGCGGGAGCTTCACGGAATGATGGCGGGTCCGCTCCAACATGTTGCTAGCGCGTGAACTCCAGACACATTCTCTGCAAAAACTGCGAACGTTTTACACGTTTAGGGGGATCCGATTCAACACGCGGCGTTCGCCTCAGCGCCGCGCGCAATCGTTTCAAAACTTGGAACGAACTTCCCGTACGGAGGGCGGCTCCCTTTCTCAACATCCCGTCAAAACGCCGCGCACATTCGCGTAGACATAGTGCTCGGGTTTCACATACCGAAGGCGGATCCTTTTTCAGCAAGTGCGATTCCCGCCTCATCGCCGCGCACATCCGTCCGAAGAGTTTTCGGGAACTTCGCGGATGGAAGGGTGTCCTTTTCAAAACGTGTTTCTTGCCAAAGCGCCGCGCGCATTCGTCTTGCAAAAATGCGGGGCGTTCGCAGATGTAGGGCAGGTCCTTCTTCTGAATGCGGTTCTCGGACTAGCGCCGTGCACATTCGTGTCGACCGTTGGTGCAAGAGCTTCGCGGATTGAAGGCGCGCTGTTTCCAGAGCGCGGCTCGCGCATCGGAGCCGCCCGCGCGCGCTCGCGCCAAACATTCTCAAAGAAACCTTGCCAGTCGAGGGCTGGTCATTTTCAAAATGCGGTTCTGGCCGAAGCGCCGCGCACATTCGTCTTGAAGATTTGCCGGAGCTTTTTGTGCGGAGGGCGGGTAATTTTCAGTGCGGGCTCTCGCCTCCGCGACGCGGGCAATCAATATCTTAATGTGTGGACGGGGGGTAGGCCATGTTCAAACGCGAACTTTTCGCTTTCGCTTTCTCATGGCGCCAAGTCGTTTGAACAATTGGCCAGGGTCTCGCGGACGAAGGCGTTGTTCTCGCCCTAGCGCCACGCGCATTCGCTTCGAATGCTTGAAACGGCTTCGCAAATGGAGGGCGGGTTCTTCTCTTCAAAGCGCGGCTCTTGCCTGGGCGTTGCGCGCGTTCGTTTTAAACGTTTTGGAGAAATTCGCGCGCGGAGGGCGAATCGCTCTCAGATTTCCGGAAACCACAAGACGGGGAACGACGCGTTGGAACGCGACCCACCTCGCACGCAAAACAGAGAGGCGCAAAGAATTGCCCTGTTGACCTCGCGCGGAAAATGGTGAAACACGCGCGGTCCCGCTCGTATTCTGAAGGCTTCAACGTGGCATCGGGCATGGCGACGCCTTGGGGTGCCTTGAATGATCGCGCGCAAAATATGAAACAAATAAACGTTATGTGCCTCGAACGGTACATTGTGCAAACCAAGTGTTTCGCTCGGAGTCCGAAGACATCGACGTAGAATCGCGCGCTGTGGGGCAACGATATTTGCTTATTGCTCGCGCGCGCATTGCAACGGCCAATCGAGAGTGGCCACCATACCTGCGAAAACTGAACGGTGCAAACCATATGTTCCCAGTCGCAACTGGAGGCACCAACGAAAAATCATGCGCGGTCGCGCTGTCGCTCCATGGCCCGCGCGAGCGCGCGCGCTCGCGCGCTTGCCCTCGCGCGCGCAAAGCAACGACCGACGTGGAACGGCAAAGTCCCACCAGCCCTTTGGGCGTGAGTGGTTTAGAGAGCCCGCTCTGTCCTCAACCCCCCTTCTTCCCCTTCGGGGAGGGGTTTACCCCTCCCCCTACCCCCTCCCCCTGGACCTGGAGAGGGTGCGCCGCGGGTCGTTGGAGGGGTCTTTTCCGACGCCTGGGAGGGCCAACAAACGACGACCCTCACGAGGATTCTTGCCCCGAGGGGGGGGGAGGGAGTTTGGCGCCTGAACTCGTCGTTGAAGTAAAAAAACATTGATTTTACTAAGGTTTTGGCACCATTTTGGCCTTCTGAGGGGGCCGCGTTCCTCTTCCTTCTTAGCAAAACCATTGATTTTACGAAGGTTGTGGGCTGATTTTGTCCTTCTCAGGGGTCAGCGCTTACTTACTAGCGCTTCTGAGGAGGTCGCAAGAGACCCCAAGATAGCCCCAAGAGGCCCCCAGGAGGCTCCCAAGAGGCCTCCAGGAGGCCCCCAAGAGGCCCCCCAGAGGCCCCTAGAGGTCCCCTCGAGGCTCCCAAGAGGCCCCCAAGAGGCCCCAAGAGGCTCCAAGAGGCCCCCAAGAGGCCCCACGAGGAGCCCGAACGACTCACACCAGGACGAGGGGCCCGAACGACTCACACCACGAAGAGCCCGAACGACTCACACCACAAGGAGGGGCCCGAACGACTCACACCAGGACGAGCCGCCCGAACGACTCACACCATGAGGAGCCCGAACGACTCACACCACGACGCGGGCCTCGAACGACTCACACCACGAGGAGCCCGAACGAGTCACACCAGGAGGACGGGCAGCGCTCATACAAGCCCCCCACGATGGCCCCCAGAGGTCCACCAGATGGCCCCTAGAGTTCCCCAGACGGCCCACAAGAGGTCCCCAGGAGGCACCACGAGGCCTCATGTTTCGCAAGAGTTGCTGTTTTGAGATGGGCTGGTGGGGATACGCGAAGCGTGAAGAATTTAGTTTCGAAAACTGCGTGGCGAAGGCGATTGTTCCAAAACTGAGGGCCTCACCGTGGACAAATGCACTGCGACGCTGCGCAGTTCCCTCGTTGCCCGCGCGCGCGCGAACGCGCGGCGCCGAAAGACATGCGCATTCCACGCTAGGGGGCATTCAGACGTCAAGTGACCTGAGTGCTTTTCACCTATGGAATTCGTGAAATTGAAATGGAAAGTCTGCGATGGTGTCTCGGCGCCCCGCGCGCGCGCGCTCGCAGGCAACGTGGAAAGCGCATCGCGCCCATCGGCGTTGCGCATTATCCCAGGAGGCGGCTCTCAGAATACGCGTGACACGATTTGGTTGCCACCGTCCAGTTTGCAACATGAAAATTGCAATGCTCGGTTCGTTTCGCATTACGCTGGCGAGGCCGCGCGGGGCAAGGGGCGCACTTCGCGTTGCAGCATATAAATGCACGATGGGCCCCAAGAACACGAATGCAACATATGGTTTCCTCTGCTCCGTTGCCCATTCGCCGTGGGATCCTGCATGTCGCGCGCGGACGCAAAGAGGACAAACACATGCTGTCGCAGCGTTCACATTTACGCCATCTCATGCGGCGGCGACAACGCGCGCCATCATGCCGCGCGCCCGAGCGCATGCCGCCGCGAGGGGGCACTGCGCCCCCAGGCTAACAACTGGCGTTCGCACAATCGTCCCACTCAGCGGGCGCTGAACGGCCGAATCCCCGGGATTCGCCGGCTCGACCCCCCCCCCGCCTGCCCGACCGCTCGACCCCGCTGGGCGTCGGAAGACGGGTCGCAACGTCACTGTCGGCGCGGGGGGGGGCGCGATAAGGACCGGGGCCCTTTCAGGGCCGCTTGGAAAAAACAAAAAAAAAAAAAATGAAAAAAACGGAGACGCACAGGGGATCGCGACGGTTCGCGCAGGCAGCAGGGCGGAGGCGCGCGGCGGGCACCGCGCATTCTCAGATTTTTACACCCATCAGGAAACAATCTCACTGGGCCCACGCGCCTCTCCGAGCGAAGGAGACATCAGGCTGGGGAGACAGAGCCGCTCGATACGTATAGTTCCGCTGGAATTCACGAAGGTTCCTCGGGGGCTCGAAGGGAACTTCAGGACCCCCCAGAAATCCTGGGATCGCCCCCCCCGCCAGGGGCTCGGCGCCCCAGCGCCCCGCCCCTCGCGCCACGGCGCCCCCGGGGAATTCTATCTGAAGTGTCCACGCACCCAGGAGCTCTCAGGAAACCCGACTTTCAAACGCAGTATGACGCACTAGATGGTGATCCTCGTTAGCGCCGCTGTCGCGGGGCCCAGCGCCGCCCCGACGCATGGGCCGGGCCT